AAGACGATAAAGATCGGCAACAAGCATATAGATAAACATGGACTTACAATTATATGGACGTCGGGTCCGCGCTAAAAAGTGTCCGAACTTATAGGGCGTTAAAATCGTATACAGAGCGTCATTCACGCTTTAGTCTTCGTTTGTTCGACTGACAGCGAAGCAAGCAAAATTAGACAGTACTGCGATGACATTACAATTTAAATTCAACGTTTTAGCTTTTTCATATTCCTTTAAATGTCGCTACGTTTAAATAGGTTGACTTGGGACATTTTTTTCGTGGTTTTTGTATTAGACCCGTCGTCCATTTATTTGTAAGTGAATGTAGATAAATTAGTAATAAGGCTATGATTATTATGGATGCGAATTCTGACGAATGCGTCCGAACAAACAAACGCCTGATTTTCAATAAGTGTTTACACTGACAGCGGCGAACACGCACATGCGCGATATCATCAGAACTAACTAGTTCTATGCTGGGATAACCATGCTGGAGCTAGTATTGCCTCTGTGACCGAACGGGTCTGCCACGCACAGGTCTCGGGTTCGATTTCCGAACTGGGCGAAATATTTGTATGGCCTACACCTATTTCTCTCGTGAGTTTGGGTGTAATTTTTTGGTTGTTATGTGTGTATCTATGGCACCTGTAAAACATGGTTTCCTTAGTGCAGGGCTATGAGTGTGTAGATTTTTTAGTGAGTAGGCTATTTCACCATTGATAATAAATCGATAAGTCTTGTGAACGAAAACAGATGTTTTTGGGTTATTTATGACAGACAAAAATTATCATGACAGACATATTTCTCGGCAAAAGTGCGAAAACACTAGCAGTAAGTACAATTTTGTACGTATTTGTTTTGATGTGAGGTTTACATGAATTACGTAAGCAATAAAATTAATGTTTACATTTTATCATTACATCATATAGCAAAAGACGCGCGCAGTTTAACCGCCTTGTTCTGACGAGGATTCCGAACATACTCATCCGAACACATTTTCGTCGGTATTCGGATGCATAGTAAATTTATCTTAAGTTCTGCTGATTGATCCCGTAGCTCAGTTCATAAGTTGGAAGAGCAGTTAGCCCCGGCCTGACAAACAGTCGCTGGATCGTATCTAGGCATCCGCCTACGAAGACATTTTTCCGTGTTTCTTTGATCTATGTCTCAATAATAACACCAAACTAGTGGAGTATTTTCAATTATGTGAATGTCATGGTACTAAAAACTTCATGATATTCAATATAATAAATATTACAGATATTGTAATCCAACTTACATTTCCTGCAACCAGTCCACTTAACACCGGTTGTAAAATCGTGATAGGCAAGTCCCGTAGCGTGTATAAAGTAAATCACATTGAAAACAATGTCGAAGACTCTTGCAAAAAATGGTATCTCAAACCAACCAGAACTCATGTCGTACGCAACCATTATGATGGCCAACAGACACATGATGCAGATGAAACTGTTCCACTTAGTGTTTTCAGCAATCCCGTGGAACCAATTGGACACTCGTGTCCAGGGCAACCACGTTTTGTACTCCATCTGAAGACAGTGTACTCGTCAAGACAAAATCAAAGTAGGTCATAAAAATACATTTAAATTGAGTTTTGGATAGTTATCGCTTAGAGACCACGTTCCGGTCACATTCCACTGAATCAATTTGCATTTATAATGGGAAAAGCTGATAGCACAAATTGTACTGAATGTGGGATTGTAAACGGAATGAGGATGAAATATCTGAGTTACAAATAAAAAATAATAATAATGGTATTGTAAACTGTGTATGGCATCTCCGTGTAGTATAGAGGCGAAGATGCTATATAATGTAGTGGATACCGGACTTAACAACAGACCGAACTAATTGTTTAAGCTTTGTAATCTTTTTGTTGTGTGTGTCATGAGGGTGACGTATTGATTGCAACAAAATCCCCTTCAAAAAATAAGCATTAAATAAAGTCTATATAGACAATGTGTAAAAGGCTTCTTTGCGGAGGGTGAGGGGCGTCACCTCCAGTATCCTAAAAATGATCTCCAATAGGCTCGGTCGGTTCAAAAACCACTGACGCGCGATTTCCAATGGCACCGACGAGCATTGATTGATTTTATTACGTGTGTTATTTTAAGTCTATACTACCTCAAATGGTTTTGGTTGATTCTACATAACAGAATAATCAATCAATTTGCACAAAATATATGTAAAGTAAACTTGAGGATATACACTGATTACTATATGGTGTGAAAGTGAAGACACGATTCTTAAAAATTTACACGATAGAAAAAGACACAAACGTAACTCGAAATTTTACAATAAAACCGTTGTATTCAATATGTACTTTACTTAAATCAATGTTTTTTTATGTCAACTGAATTAAATAGAACACTACAATATGTAAAAAATACATTCTGAAATAAAGCCAGTGTCCCTGCCACCCGACCTAAGGAAAATGAACCGTATTAGTAGGGGAAAATTTTGAATTCGAGCTGAGGTAGTATGGACTATGTACCGTGCAAATTATGGATCCGAGTTATCTGAACAAATAATAATAATGATAACAGAGTCTTGTTTAGCAAAATTTTATGTTTGCTGGTTATAATGTTGTTGAAATAGAAAATGTGGTCAGGAAACAAAACAAAGGTGATATTCCACGTGGAAAAAGATATCCTAAGTTAGCGTAAACTTATGATACAAACTTCAGGTCGTTGATTACAATCATGGTGACTCGTGGTCAGCGGTAAGCGATACTTTACGGACGTGACAATCCTTCTGGGCAGCGCGCACAACAAATTTTCACCGAGCTTGTTCTAGCGGTCCAGTTTAAGCATTTTGAACCCAAGGTCAAAGTTTTTAGTAGCAGTAGAGCCCCTTGTGGAAGAGTTCGTCCAGGGTAGTAGTACTGCCTTACCTATTTCTGCCGCCAAGCAGTAATGTCAGCGTTACTATATTCCGGTTTTCAAGGGTTAGAGTGCTGGTGAAATTACAGGCACATGGGGCTTGTCAACTTATGTGTCAGGGTGATGGGCGCAGTGGCAGTGCCCCTCAGATCTTTGTGTTCTAAACATTGACTTACAAATAAATGGACGACGGGTGTAATACAAAAACCACGAAAAAAATGTCCCAAGTCAACTTATTTAAACGTAGTGACATGTAAAGGAATATGAAAAAGCTAAAACGTTGAATTTAAATTGTAATCTCGTCGCAGTACTGTCTAATTTTGCTTGCTTCGCTGTCAGTCGAACAAACGAAGACTAAAGCGTGAATGACGCTCTGTATACGATTTTAACGTCCTATAAGTTCGGACACTTTTTAGCACGGACCCGACGTCCATATAATTGTAAGTCAATGGTTCTAAAGCTCTGAGTGGCACTGCAACAGTTATGGCCTGTCTATATCTCACGACTTATTCGTCCCGTCACTAGATATTATAAAAAAGAAGGTCATGGAAACCGAAGCTATAAAACTAACAAACGATAATAACGACTATTATCATGGTGATCAGTTGTCAATAATCTTTGAAAGCCTTTAATTTTGCCAAATAAGGTTGAGACATGTGGTGAATCTGGTAAATCACTCGAAAATTTTGAAAAAGTTTTCAAAAATCCTTTTCTTCAAAATAAACCTTAGCCCATAAATTATTTAAGTAAACCTTAACGCCCGTGTGAACGATAAATAAAGCTATACATCTTACCTCTTCTTGGTACACAAAGTACTGGAAGTCAACTTCTTTGTGGCGAATATTAGCATGTCGGCTAGCCCGAGAGTATGACATCGACATCTTGAGCTGCGGCCGTTAACGGAGACCCTAACAAAACTAGCTGCTAACAAGAGTATATACGTACAAAAGATTTAGGAATTAAAATTTTTGATACAGTCTTCAAGACTTCCAGTTTCCCGTAAAGCGTCTAAATAACATGTCTTAGAATAAAAGTGTTCTATACTATCATCTAATTTTTCTATTAATTGCTTATAAAATTATCAGATCTTTTCGTAGGTACGCGTCAACTTCGCAGATGTTACCAGTATTATGTATGTAGGGAATGGAAGACTTGAGAAAGCTCAGTGCTGATCACCATCTGACGCCAAGCGTATGTTGTATGCTAAGGCCGGTTTACCTTCAAGATAAACACTTAACAATGACCAAGACTGCTTCATCAGCTTCATAAACTACTGGTGTATTCATTATTAGCTCAATAACAATGACTTCTTGAACAAATTATGAAAAATAAGAAACGAAGTACCTATAGTCCTATAGTCCTATTCATTGACCCTTTATCAACGACGATTTTTGAAAAAATTGGTCATGATATTGATCTCAATACGTCAAATAGTATTTTTACGTCTTTGTCATATGCTTAGAGGATGGACAAAAATAAGGTCATATGTTACGACAAAGAGAACTTTTAACTTCCATCCTCTTAGAGGATGGAAAAAAAAGATAAATCTTCATTTCTTTGTACAATAAAATCAATCCTTTTTGTAGTCTACAAAGAAATCATATTTACTAACCTGATGGGAAAAAAACTAAGAGGATCTTAGAGGTGGAAAAAAAAAGGATACATATCCATCCTGTAGATCTTATCCTCTTAAGCTGTAGATAATCATGTGTTTGTAGATCGATATCATAGAGAAACATATAAAAATGAAAATCTGTGTTATTTGGTCTTTGCTTTTAACCTTCAATAATTTTTTTTAGTCACAATCAAAGAGAATTCATAAGTGTCATATTTTATGAGTATTTTGAATATTTTTTTAATATTTTCATGATTGTGTGATCTCTTACAAATAAATAACATAAGGCGTAGAGATAATGACGTCCTTTCTTATTTAATGCCAAATAAATTATTTATTTATTATTATTATTATTGATGCAGGTAGCAAAACCTGAACAAAAGAAGTCGTGTATTTTCTACCTTGGAATCATATCTATTTTAAGTTTTTCCTGTTTGCATGTGCTTCTTATTCGAGGCATAGGCTGGGCATAATCAGCCCCAACTCTAAAGATGTCCATGTCATACTCTCGGGCTAGCCGGCTCGCTAGTTTAAACCACAAGGAATTCGACTTCCAGTTCTTTGTGTACCAACAAGAGGTAAGCTTTGTTAATCGTTCTCACAGTAAGGTACGTTAAAGTTTAGTTGCAATTATCTATTTTTGCCAAACTATATACATAACAGTTTAGGGATCGTCTGGTTAAGGTCTATTTTTAAGATAACAAATTTTTGAAAACTGGGTTAGTCATTTGGCATTTTCAAAGGATTTTTACCTTTTATCACCAGGCTATATATAACTCAAACTGAAAATTACGTGTTCAAAATATTATTGTCATATTAACAGGTTACCATGATCAAAATAGTTATTAGCTTTTGTTAGTTTTACAACTTTGATTTCCGTCAAAATATTTAAAATGAAATTCAAGATTTCGCTTGCGTTACTTATTGCGTCCATTTAGAGTCCAAAGTTTATATCTGTATTAATCAAGACACATTTCGTGATAAACTACTTATTCAATTTTAGGTGGAGTATAAAACATGGCTTGGTGCCAAAAGAGTGAGTCGGTGGATCCACCGGATCGCTGACGACACCAGTTGGAACTGCTTCATGTGCATGATCTCGCTGTTCGCCATCGTGTTTGTGGCCGTTCAAGTTGGTGTTGAAACTGCGCTTCACGAGATAGTGTTCCACATTTTTTATAACGTGATTTATTTCGTGAATTCAGCGTTATTGTTTTACATCCAGTTTGCAAAGCTCCAAAAGAGTACTTGGGCCACCAAATGTTAGTTGATGCATCATTTCTCTACGCCTTTCCAACTCACGCTAAGTTTTCACTCATCTCACAATTTTTGCAGTCGGCTTTGTGCTCGACGTCCTGTCAAATGTTCATTACCTTATGTACTATCTCTTCACCATCGGCATCGTGCCGTTATGGGTGTGCCGAAATGCCAAAATTGCTTGCTACTACCTGCGTTTGTACCGTCCTGTGCGATACCTCTGTGAGTAATGACTCTTTTCTACTGAATAGTTTTTCGGCTCGAGAACAAACTAACGGATTGTGGCATTTGACTGCAGGGTTTCTGAACGACACCCATCTTATCGGTGGTGGTGTGATCGGAACTACACTCAAGTACGTGTACATATTCTGTTTGCTCCGCGTAACTTACGCTATACTTTGGATCCATCTGATATGGGTATGTAAGACATCATAGTAGTTATAATTATATATTATTTATTATATATACTTTAGTAGCAGTAGAGATTCTTGTGAAAGAGTTTGGCCAGTTTTCAGCCACTCCAAAAATATGTCTGAAGTGATATATGCAGATTTTATTGACATAAGCAATTTGGATCCAGGGGACATTCCATCTTCAAATTCGGTTTTTTTATTTTTGCCCTTCCTTCAATGCATGCTGGTCTCTCCCTTTTCAGCTGATGTTATTGTAGAAACGACTTTAGTGCCTTTTTGAGCCAGCACATGCGCGGGGCGGTTATTTAATTGGAGGCTAGTC